TGGCAGAACACCGATTTCTATGGCACCGTATAGATTTTCACCCACCGAGTTAAGTGAGTTGAAGATTTAACTCCAGGAATTACTAGATAAGGGTTTTATCTACCCTAGTATTTCGCCTTGGGGAGCACTGGCTCTCTTCGCTAAGAAAAAGATGACGCGTTACGACCTTGTATTGATTATCGGAAGTTGAACCAGGTAATCGTTAAGAATAATTACCCATTGCCTCGTATAGATAATATGTTTGACCAGTTGAAGGGGTCTTGTTGTTTTTCTAAGATAGACTTGAGATCAAGTTATCATTAGTTGAGGGTAAGGGAGGAGGATATCCAAAAAATGGCATTCCGTACACAGTATAGTCATTATGAGTTCCTAGTGATGCCTTTTGGGTCAACCAATGCACCTAGCTTGTTCATGGACTTGATGAACCGAACCTTCCATGAATTCTTAGACCGTTTTGTGGCCGTCTTTGTTGATGACATCTTGATTTACTCACCCTCTGAGGAGGAGCACAAAGAACACTTACTAGTTGTACTTGAGTTGCTTAGAGCCCACAAACTATATGCTAAGTTCGGGAAGTGTAAATTCTGGTTGTAAGAAGTTAAGTTCCTAGGCCATGTGGTATTCAGGAAAGGAGTGACCATAGACTCTTTTAAGATAGAAGCGGTGCAATATTGGGAACAACCTAAGAACGCCTTTGAGATTCATAGTTTTTTGGAATTAGCCATGTACTATTGTCGGTTTGTGAAGGACTTCTCTAGTTTAACTTCACCGTTGACTAGACTGACGAAGAAGGGAATCAAATTTGCCAAAGCCACCCTTCCGGGTTTTCAACCTTGTGAGGTTTTTTTTTTTTCTTTAATATTTATTTTTCTTATTTTTTTATTATTATTTATTTTATTTATTATTTATATATATATATATATATATGCTATAATTTTTACCTAGGTCGCCCTTTTGAGTTTTCGACCTAGCAAACCTCTCAAAGGTAGTACCTTTTCAATTTGTCCATATTAATTGGTTGCGAAAACTCCAATCCATCCAAGTCCATAAGAACAACCACTCTTCTTGACTAGATTGACTTAGTAATGTAAGGACATGTCTAATTAGATCTGAACTTGCCCCTAGGATCATGAATTAGAGCTCGATTATCTTTCAATACTAAATCTCTTTCTTTCAAATTTTTGGATTTAATTTTTTTATTTGAATGCTTTGGCAATCCTGCGTTGATACCCCTGAATCTGGTATAATGCTTTCAATCTCAGCTCATCAAATAACATCAGCTCCTCAAATCGACTCTGTTGCCAATAAGCTTCTGCTATCTAACATTCGGCCATAATCCTCAGCGAGGGTACTTCTATCTCAATCAGCAAAATAGCCTCCATTCCATATACTGAAGAATAGGGGGTTACCCCCTATAGACATTCAGATTGACGTCCTATATCCCCAAAGTGTACAAGGCAGTTTGTCTGGCCAATCTCTATAGGTTTCCACTGTCTTACGTAGAATGGTTTTGATGTTCTTATTTGTAGCTTCAACGGCTCCATTGGTTTGTGGCCTATATGTTGATGACTTGTGAAAAGTCACGTTGTATTTCTCAAGTAGAACTGCCACTTCTCTTTTAAAGTGTGAATCATTGTCTGAAACGATTTCGTTCGACACTCCATACCTATAGATGATGTTATTTCTGATGAACTTAGCCATGTGCAATGTTTTCAACACTGAATACGACTATACTTCTACTCACTTGGTGAAATAATTATAGCGACCAGAATGAATTCATGCATGTTTGAACCCTTTGGTGCAACTGCTCTAATGATGTCTATGTCCTAAATTGAGAAAGGCCATGGTGAGGTCATATTATAGAGTTTTGATGGCGGGATATTCATACGGTTAGCATGAATCTGACATTTGTGGCATCGCTTAACAAAGTTGATACAATCACTCTCTATGGTTAACCAATATTATCCTTGTTTAAAGATTTTTCTAGCCGACATTATATCGTTCGTATGGGCTCCACACTGTCCTTCATGGATAGCTTCCATGATACGCTTTGCCTCTTCTTCCTCTACACTCAGCTTGTGCATTCTCAGATGCCATTTCTTATACAGCTTATCTCCGCAGATGATGAATTGAGCGGTCAAATGCCGTATCCCCCTTTTGTTCTTGGCATTTTCCCCTTTCAGGTATGTGTTGCTTTCCAGAAAGTTCCAAATATTAAAGTACTAGGGATTTCATCTTGCACTTTTCTATCGCGGCTATCACCTCGTATACCAGTGCATATCTTATAAGGATTGGACGCATCTTGACCCTAATTGGTATGTCTACTATCGAGGCCAAAGTCGCTAAAGCATTGACAAACCAGTTGTTCCCTCTCACTAGGTGTGTAAATGTCAGTCTTTTAAATCTTGGGTCTAGAATATCCAAGGTCTGGTGGTAAACTTTCATTTTCTCTTCCTTGACCTTCTAGTGCCCATTGGCTTGAGAGACTACTAAGTTTGAATCCCCAATCACATCCAGCCTTATTGTCCCTAGTTCTAGGGCTACTTCCAATTTGGCTATACATGCCTCGTACTCAGCTTGATTATTGGATACTTTGAATCGATATTTGAAAGCTAAGGGTATGTGGGAATCATCTAGTGCTATAAGCAACACCCTTATCCTATAGCCAAATTTGATCAACTGCTCTGTCAAAATACAATTTCCAAGTATCCTTTTCGAGCTGCAAGATCTCTTCATTTAGGAACATGTACTCTGCATCTTCTCCTCTTTCAACTGGATGGTCGGCCAAAAATTCCACTACAACCCTTCATTTGACAGACTTGCGAGAGACATATTTGAGGTCGAACTCAAAAAATAAAAGTAACCATCGAGCTCGCCTACCAGTAAGCGCTGGTTTCTTAAAGAGATATTTGATAGGATCTAATCTCGAAATTAGAATTACCAAGTGTGCTTACAAATAGTGCCTTAATTTCTTGGTAATTCAAACCAAGGCTAAACAAGCTTTTTCCAAGGAAGTGTAGCGAGTCACGTATTCTAGCATCTTCTTGCTCAAGTAGTAGATAGCCACTTCCTTATCCGACTCTTGGGCAAGCATACACCCCATAGTTGATTCAATCACTGATAAGTATAGTATCAGCAGTTTTCGCAGCTCAGGTGGTGATAACACATGTGGATTCTACAAATACTGCTTGGCCTGCTCGAATGCAAACTGATATCGATCATCCCATCAGAACTTCTTTCTTTTTTTCAGGAGACCAAATAGTGGTTCACAAGTCAAGGTTAGCTTTGAAATAAACCTCCTTATGAATTGCCCTTTTTCCAAAGAGCCCCACCACACCTCCTTTTCAGTCATTGGTTGTGACATTTCTAAAATGGCCTTGATTTTTAACGGATCAACTTCAATTCCTCGTTGGGTAATCAAAAACCCCGGCATCTTACCAACAGTCACCCCATTCAACCTCAGCCTATACTCCTTGATCCTTTTGAAAAACCTCTTTAGTGCAACATAGGAGCCCTCTCACTTTTTGGATTTGACAATCATATCATCCACATGTACTTCGACCTTCTTATGGATCATGTCATGCAATATTGTAGTTATTGCTCTCTGATATGTAGCACTGGCATTCTTCAGTCCAAACGGCATAACCCTATAATAGTATGTCCCTTATGGAATGGTAAATGCAGTCTTCTCCCTGTCCTCCGGAGCCATAAAAATCTAATTGTACCCAAAGAAACCATAAATGAATAATAGCAAGGCATGCCTCGCTATGATGTGGAAGAGAAAGAGAATAAATGCCATTAGAGTGGAAGAGAAAGAGAACAGAGAGAGATAAAGAGAGAGAGAGAGAGAGAGAAGTCTGGTTCCACTCCTTCACATGCTCCATTCCATGTCATTAAGAGTAAATTGATGGTGTCAAATTAGTGTTCCCAAACATTAATAAATGCCACTCACATAAGTAAAAATATTTCTAATTTTATATAACATTACCTTACATTGTTTAATAGTTGCAATGGATTTTTTCAAAGAAAAACTCGTGAAATTGAAAATCCATTAGTTTGACCTTGTCATAGGTTTTCAAAACATATTTTCAACACCCAATTTTTTTTTAAAGAAAAGAATCATTTATGCTACATATATATTTTTTTAAAACTCATCTTATATAAAATTTAGCTAATTCGTGAAAAGTGCATTTTTAATGGGGTCATATATTATTTAGTTCAAGATTTAATTCTTTTTTTTTTATAATAAAGACAAGCCTTGAAAAGTCGGCAATTTGAGGTGGATAAATAAGTTATAATAGATAAGTAACACGTGTACAAATAAATAAAATTTGAATAGATAATTAGATAGGTGGGGGCTACACATACATATAGGTGACATTAGGAGGGGTGATTATTTAATAGGGTCGGTAATGTTCAAACATATAAGTTTTCTCTTTTAGATAGATAATGTTTTTTTTTGGCCAAAAAGATTTAAGCATGGATCTATTGGTTCAAAAATTTCAGGAATGGACCTTTGATACATATAAAATTTTATAGGGTAAATTACACTGACCTCCCTTGATATTTGAAAAATATATAGTAAATTTCATAATTTTGACATAATTATACTAACCTCCCGTTTGGTAAAGTTAAATGGGTCGAAACTAACGTAGATACGTAAAATATATATTTTCGTGTAAAAACTATGACAATATTATTTTTCATTCACATAACTAATAAATTATTGATGAAAATAGAATAATGTGTCGAAAGAATTAAAATTTCAAAGGAACTCAATGTAATTATGTCAAAATTGTGAAGCTTACCAAATTTCTCTAAACTAAAGTCGATTTAATTTATCAAATTTTATATTTGTAAATATATATATTTTTTAAATATTCAATTTGGTAAATTATACACTTGGTCTTCGAACATTGGAGCTCCAATTGACAAAAAAATAGCCTATGGTTTGGCCCAAAATGTGGGGACAATGGCTTGTCTTTTCGATTTGAGAAAATTTCATGTCATTGGACTTAATTTTTTCATGTGGACTTTCGATTCTTTGTGAGAGGGAGGGAAGGAAGAGAGGGACCAAGTAAAGGCTAGAGAGAGAGCTAGCAAAAGTCTGGAGCACATGGGATGGATTTGTATATGATGGAAAGTTCAGTTAAAGAGGGTTGGCTTAGACAACTGATGATTGAAAATAGAGAGGTGTCTTCTTTGACCTCTGTATCTCTCTCACACAATAAATAATACTTGCTATCCCAACCAATTCTTCTAAAGAAACCAAAGCCACCAGCTCCACCACAAGCATCCAGACCCAATTTGAAACAACCTTGCTTGTTTAGAGAGAGAGAGAGAGAGAGAGAGAGAGAGAGAGAGAGATGGGAAGAGCTCCTTGTTGTGACAAGGCAAGTGTAAAGAGAGGGCCATGGTCACCTGAAGAAGATGCAAAGCTAAAAGAGTATATAGAAAAGAATGGAACTGGAGGGAATTGGATTACCCTCCCACAAAAAGCAGGTAAAATTTGATCCCCCCCTTTTCAGGAAAAATGATTTTGATTATGTGGGTTGCTTTTAGTTTTTTATGTTTTTGTTTTTGGTTGTGTCCACCACCACCAGGCCTAAGAAGATGTGGAAAAAGTTGCAGATTGAGATGGCTGAACTATCTAAGACCAAATATTAAACATGGGGAGTTCTCTGATGTTGAAGATAGAATAATCTGCAGCCTCTTTGCTAGCATTGGAAGCAGGTACCATCATCTCTTTCATATATATTGGTTTTGATCTTTTATTTTTGTCATTTTGTACCCCAATTGATTTGGGTTCCCTTTATACTTCACAATCACTGTGAATATGGATTGAATCATCACAATTTTTTTCCCTTTCTTGTTCTTTTTCTGGGGGGAGCTTTCAAAGAAAGTTTGCATATTGCAAGAATCTACTATTTGTAGACAATTTTTGGTTCTTTTGCATGCATGCCAAGTTTAGATCTCTCTCTCTCTCTCTCTCTCTCTCTCATTAATTTATCAGTTACAAAAGAAGCTCAATTTTATTTAACTTTTTAATTCCCAACAAAAACAAAAAAGTGCAGATGGTCAATAATAGCAGCTCAGTTACCAGGGAGGACTGACAATGATATAAAGAATTACTGGAACACCAAGCTCAAGAAGAAGCTCGTGGGGATGCTCTCTTCCTCTCACACTTCATCATTAGCATCCAAATGCAGCAACAACAACAACAATGCTTATTACACCTCCACCAACCAAACCAACTCTTTTATAGGCTATGAATTACCCAACATTTCAACCCCATCATCAAATCTTTTAAGCACCACGACTGCTTGCTCCTCGGCCCAAGAGGGCTATGTGGGTCCCATGCATACTGTCCTCATGTTTGGTGGTGGTGGTGATCAAGCTAGTTGCAGTAATTCTTCTGATGGGAGTTACAACAATCAGATCAGCCATGGGAGAGAAATGGAGCATGATTATTATGGTGAGCATATGGGCTTTCACTTGCAGAGTTATGCTTACAATGGAGTTGATCATGAAAATCAAAATTTGATGATTTCTAGTAGTGGTGGAGGGGATGGTAATGGGTTTTCTGTGAAACCAAATGGGTTTTTGTGTGGTGAAACTCCATTAATAGACTACTACAGTAGTCTTGAGGAGATTAAGCAGCTAATCACCACTAATAATATCTGTAGTAATAATAATAATCTCAACTTCTTTGCTGATGAAAACAAGACAGATGAAAAAGTCCTGTATTACTGAAATGCTGGTGCTGACTGCCCAGTACTATTAGAAGATTTCAAGGGTAAGGAAGGACTTGGATGGTTTCAAAGTTTCTGATTTTTAAGATCAATTTGTGGTTTTTTCTTTTTCCTTTTATTTTATTTTACTTTATTTTTGGGACAGTAAATGCTAGAAGTTTCCTTTGTGCATTTCTTTTTGGGGAAATGATGATGTGTGTGCAGTTTTTGACTGCAGTACTCAGAAATAAATGTCATGGAAACTAGAGAAGCAATGTGGAGGGATGTAGACCAGACATGCGCTATTTTTTTTTTTTTAAAATACATTTTTTAATATTTTTCTTTTAATTTATTGATGTAATACTTTTTTGAGTATTTTTAACAAGTGCTTCTATGATAAATTATTTAGGCCAAGTTTGGCTAACAAAAAAAAGTGCACTTATTTTATCTTTTTATCTTTTTTGAGTCACATCAATCAACATCTTTTCTCTATTTTTTCTACACATAATACAAAAAAAATTAAAAAATACACTTATTTAGTCTTCCCAACCTTAGTATTTATTTCAGTAACAAATTTATGTGATGTTTCAAATTAAGGAGTAGGTCTAAATTATAAGATCAATTACTTTTGTATTGAAAATTTGTTACAGTGTGCAGTTTTTGACTGCAGTACTCAGAAATAAATGTCATGGAAACTAGAGAAGCAATGTGGAGGGATGTAGACCAGACATGCGCTATTTTTTTTTTTTTAAAATACATTTTTTAATATTTTTCTTTTAATTTATTGATGTAATACTTTTTTGAGTATTTTTAACAAGTGCTTCTATGATAAATTATTTAGGTCAAGTTTGGCTAACAAAAAAAAGTGCACTTATTTTATCTTTTTATCTTTTTTGGGTCACATCAATCAACATCTTTTCTCTATTTTTTTTATACATAATACAAAAAAAATTAAAAAATACACTTATTTAGTCTTCCCAACCTTAGTATTTCAGTAACAAATTTATGTGATGTTTCAAATTAAGGAGTAGGTCTAAATTATAAGATCAATTACTTTTGTATTGAAAATTTGTTACAAAAATATTGAATACTTTATCTGCTTGTAAAATAAAATAAAAGAACACTACTCTTTTACATTTAAAAAATATATTATGAATTTCCGGTCCTTTTTCACACAATTTCAAAAAAAATTTCAAAAAAAAAAAAAAACTCAATTCTGATACATATATTTCTCACCAATGTAGTATTTGCTAAATTTTTATTTTTTTTTTTGGTTGTTAATTTTTTATAGAAAAGACCAAGGGAGTTCCAATGATAAAAAGCGTTTTCAAAATAGATTAAACTATTGAAAATAAGTTTTAAAAATTACTAAAAAGTATTAAGAAATTGAAATAAAAAATCCCGTATTATCTTTTTTTTTTATTTTTTTATTTGTCATTATATTGTACCAAAGACACTACTTGTTAGGAAAAATCTGTTTTTATTGAATGTTGTCAAGCCGAAGATGAGAATCTAGGATTTTTTAAATGGTTTAATCTTATCCTAATTCCTGCCTTCTTAAGCAATCTCCAAATTTTTAAATACAACACTAATTAATTAATTCATGGAAGGACGATCTTGGCCTTGTTTGGTACAGCTTAATTTCAGCTTATTTCAACTTTCAGCTTAATTTAAGTTATTTTGATGTGTTTGGTTTAGCTTATAGCTTATAGCTTATAGCTTTGTGGAAGTCAGAAAACAGCTTATTCTTTAAGTGGGGCAGGAGATGTTTTAAGAATAAGCTGGAAATCAGCTTAAGCTGAAAGTTATAAGCTATAAGCTGTTTAGGCATAAGCTATAAGTACTTTCCCACAACTCTACCAAACAGGGCCCTTGTTTATAAATGAATTAGGTGATAAACATAGTACAATTATGATGGGTTTAATTGGATGAAATTAGGGACGAATGCAAGAATCTAATCTCAGATACAATATATTTGCAATCAAAAATTGGTTTAATAAAATTTATGATACAATTAATATATTTTTTTTTCAGTAAAAAACAACAACAGAGTAGTTGGGTATTAAAATTTTCAAAAATTATTTGGAGAAAAAAGTAATATAATTTTAAAATATTTTAAACTAATACAACTATGATAAGAGTTTTTGTAGCTTTGGAGGTGGCCGACACCTCAGCCGCCCTCTTGGTCTATCCTTGGAAGAAAACACAATATAAGAATTATTTTTTTCTCAACATTGAAGCATAGAATTGTTGCTCAATATCTGATTTTTAGGCTTCGTTTGGAAAGTCATGGTTTGAGTTTTTTTTGTTATTTTAGTCACAAAAAATAAAATAGATTATTTTAGTCACAACAAACAAAACATCACATCCAATCCATAATCATTATATTCTTCTCTCATAAAAAAACTCAAAAAAGTCAAAAAGCCAAAAGCTCTTCCCAAACCAAGCTTTTAAGCCCAGGCTAAAATAGCCAAAAAAACCAAAAAGCCAACCCACTTCTCAAACGGAGGCTTAATGGTTTTGAACTTTTATAATTGTACATGTGAGCCATAATTCAATCAGTGATAACCCTTTGATTAGGACTTGTGGGGTTTTTGACGAGGCAAAAGCCTTGAGTCTAAGATGAATTATTGATAAACAATTTCAACTTGGGAACCAAGCTTTACCAAAAATAAAAAAGAATAAGCTGGAAATCAGCTTAAGCTGAAAGTTATAAGCTATAAGCTGTTTAGGCATAAGCTATAAGTACTTTCCCACAACTCTACCAAACAGGGCCCTTGTTTATAAATGAATTAGGTGATAAACATAGTACAATTATGATGGGTTTAATTGGATGAAATTAGGGACGAATGCAAGAATCTAATCTCAGATACAATATATTTGCAATCAAAAATTGGTTTAATAAAATTTATGATACAATTAATATTTTTTTTTTTCAGTAAAAAACAACAACATAGTAGTTGGGTATTAAAATTTTCAAAAATTATTTGAAGAAAAAAGTAATATAATTTTAAAATATTTTAAACTAATACAACTATGATAAGAGTTTTTGTAGCTTTGGAGGTGGCCGACACCTCAGCCGCCCTCTTGGTCTATCCTTGGAAGAAAACACAATATAAGAATTATTTTTTTCTCAACATTGAAGCATAGAATTGTTGCTCAATATCTGATTTTTAATCGTTTTGAACTTTTATAATTGTACATGTGAGCCATAATTCAATCAGTGATAACCCTTTGATTAGGACTTGTGGGGTTTTTGGCGAGGCAAAAGCCTTGAGTCTAAGATGAATTATTGATAAACAATTTCAACTTGGGAACCAAGCTTTACCAAAAATAAAAAATAAAAGATATGTGAAGTCGTCTCTTAGTCCATGATGTTAAAACAAAGATTAATTATTTCTTTTTCATTATGAAGATTTTACGTTATATTGATTATTTATTTCCTCTCATTATAAGGGTTTTGTTTTTTTTTGTTTTTTTTATTTTATATTTTATATTGTGGTTGTTAAGTTTCTAATTGTGTTATTGAATTATAATTGTCTAATTTGATACAATTTTGTTTGTGTGGTGTTTTAGGAAGATGGTGAAAAATTAGTTTTTTTGTATAAAAAAGTAGAAAAGTGATGTGACCAAAAAAAGTCAAAAAACTAAAAAAAAAACTAAAAAACTAGTCTTTCCAAATTGCCCCTATATTATAATGAATCTCTTAACTAAATGGTAAAAATGAAAAATAATTCATCTTATAGAAAAGCAGTCCAAATTTAGAATTGACCAAAAAAAAAACTCATAAGATGCCTTGGGTAGAGTAGATGTTTGGTTGGTGAGTTATGGTGTATTGTTTGGACAAAATAAATTATTTAATTTTCTCCCAAGAAAACTTATAATAGAAAGCAATCTTGACAGATGAATGCATTGACCTCTTCACCATCTTTTGTTTGCTTCTTTGGCTAAGAAGAATAGACTAACGATGTTTTTTTTTTTTGTTTTTTTTTTTTTTAAGCTAAATGAAAGTTTGATTAAGGCATCAAACCTATGAGGGAAATAGGAATGTCTTTTCTAGTGCAGTGCATTGGGTCAAATGCTGTTGCACTAAATAATGGAGTCATGTTACTTTGTTTGTTTGTGTGTATAGGATATTATACATATATAGGAGAATACAATCACTAACGAAGAAATTAACTTTGTAGATTCCTTAAAGGTAAATGGTAATCTCTTATTGAGTGATAAATAATTTGAGAAAATGCATTAAAATTTTAATTATTATAACATAATTTATACCTATATGAATCAATCATTACATATTCTATTTGAGATCACCTCTTCAAAACTTGTCTTGAGCTTCAATGGGTACTAACATGGAATTGAAAAATGGTATAGCTTTATTTGGGGATAGAATTAGGGAATAAGAGCATTAGTAATGCACTAAGATCGATTATTTTTTTTTAATTCTATTTTTAACAATGTGATACTTAATGTGTTTATAATTATATATATTATGAGATTATTATAGTATTATGTTTGATCAAGATGATGAGCTAAAGAATGACATAAAATTTAGATTATTAACTTTTGGTCGTTGGATGAAAGAGAGAAGATATTTCAAAAATTGAATTAATTATTTCAAAGAGTGAGATAAGTCATCTTACGAATTTGAGAGATTATCAGCCTATCTATATAATTAATTCAAAAATGATTCGTAGCTCGAAAATGACGAAGCTCAAATGGTCCGACTGTCCAAAACGACGTCGTTTTGGGCAGTATTTTTTTTTTATTTTCTTTTTCTTTCAAACACAGACAGGAGAAGAGGAGAGAGAGAGAGAGAGAGAGAGAGAGAGAGAGAGAGAGAGAAAGAGAAGAGGAAGAGGAAGAGAGAAGAGGCGACAAAGAAGGAGAAAAGATGATAAACGGTGATGGTGGCAGCGCCGGTGGGTATCACCGATCTCTCTATGTATCACCGATCTCTTTGTTTTCTTTTTTTTTTCTTTTTTTTCCTTTTTTTCTAAGTAGATCTGGATCTGAATGAAAAATAAAAAAAAAAAAATTTGTTGATGTTGATGAAGATGTTGATGTTGATGTTGATGAAGATGAAGATGCTGAAATTGAAACTCTGTTTTCTCTTCTTCTTCTTCTTCTTTTTCTAAGTATATCAGGATCAGAAAAAAATAAAAATTGTTGATGATGATAATGTGTTGATCAAATTCAAGGAGCCATAAGATAGGCCCTGCTATTCTGCCTCTCAAAAAATGAGCCATAAGATAGAGTGAGAGTGGAAAACGAGAGAAAGGAAGAGAGTCGAAAGGTTTAGAAAGAGAAAAAAAAATAATAGTTAGAGAGACACGACAGGGCTAGACCAAATGGTTAGAGAGGGGGAGACC